AAACTTGGGCCTCTTTCGTTGACTGTAGTGCTGATATACTCGTAGGAATTGAAGAAAACCACACACAAAGATCTTCAACAGCTCTGAGGCACACTCTCTTTTAGTTTTTCAAGGTATCTGCTGCCACTTAATGGAACATAATTTAATTGATCTGCTTGTCACTGTGGCAAAGACCAGGAATGTCCAAACTTTTTTCAAAGAGCGTAGACAAATTATATGCAGTGAATACACAGTTTTCAGACCAATTAGGTGAAATCTTCCACAGTGCACCTGACAATCTATCAGGTCTCACTAATGTGCAGCGATCCCTTAGTTGGGAATCACTGCTGTAAACCGTGCACCATTCTCCTTTTTGAAATGTCACCCCTGACACTCGTCTCCATCCATTCCACCCTGACAGCAGCCTTATCTTCTCCTCTTCTACACACTGTCCATCAGTCTGGATGGTCGACCCTACTGTGGGTTCTTGATCTCATCCACTGTTAGAACTTCTACCCCTCGCAGCTTTGTCTTCCCACTCTCATGCGTCACTCTCATTTACACACACGTCTTGCTCCTGCTGACCTTCAATCCTCTCCGCTCTAGAGCAGACCTCCATCTCTCCAGGTTTTCTCCTAGCTGCCTAGTGCTCTCACCACAGATGACATTGCCAGGTATAAGAGAAAAATAAAGTGTTTTTTTCTTTAAAATTAAGTCATTTAAGAAATTCTACTAATTGTCGTTTACCTGACTATATTTTTAAAACAAGATTGTGAAGCATAATAACGCACATTACAGACACGAAAGTGACTCACTTTCACTCCAGTCTTTCTTTCACTTCTATGGCAACAGCACACAAGAGCAGACACCCATAATGTTTTAGGTGTTTCCAACGTGGCAACATTTTATAGATTGCAATCTTTGATTACAGACGTCAGTATCTGCAGCACTGGGGGAAATTGTATTTGTAAATAAAAAGCTGAGATGGTAGATTAGTCAAGAGGGTTTTTTTTTTCAAGTATTAAATGAAAACCTTTTTGTTTTAAAGAAAACTTTATAACACCCTGGTGAGGCCTAGCGGAGTGGGTGGAGGATGAAAGTATAGACTGATAATAGGCAGCTACTTCTCACAGACAGTCCTGGACTTTACACAATTATTCAACACAAAGGGAGGCATGGGCCACATGGTAGTAGAAAGTGGTAAGTGCTCCTGCCTTACAGTAAGAATGTCACCAGTTTGATCCTGATAGGCACAGATGGAAATTTGATATCTTCAGAAGAAATCATTTCAGAAAAATGTCACCAGACCTCTACATAAAAAACTCTTTTAAAGGCTTCCACCCTAGTCCTCTACACATGCAGGCTCACAAAAGTGGTGCAACAAAAAACAGCCATGCTGCGGTTCATGCTTTATTATCTGACCTGAAACAGTGATTGCAGGTTTAACTGTAGGTGTTAAAGTAAGATTTGAATCAGCGGCAATAATCAAACCGTGGATTCTCATTACACTCGTGGAGAGTTGCTCCATAATAACACATCTCTACTGTGACAAAAAGAGGTCATGTGCTATTTCAGATCCAGCCGTAGCATAAAATTGAACTAATCACGTATTGATGTATGGTAGAGCGAGCGAGAGGCGACAAAGGCCAGGAATGAAAACAACAGGACAGAGTTGCGTAACTGAACTCACGCAGGTCAGACTGACGTGTTTGTGGATTTGAATCAATGCTCTATGTTTCATTGATCAGTATATGAGTAGATCAGTGAAAACAGCAGGGTCCTTTGATCCTCACAGCTCTGATCAATGCCATTCTCTGACAGGTCATTGCAGCGATCAGACTTCAGGACTTAGTTTCCGCTGTGATGTTTTCAGAGCTTAGGTAACACAGCCACATGTCACCGCACTGATCTGTGCCTGTGGATAGAAAAGCTCAGGCTTAGTTCTGTTTTTTTTTTTAACAAACAATATTCAAGATAAACTCAGGATGATTTAAAGATCATGAAAGATCTTGCCAGTCATTGATTGATGCTGCCTTTATCATTAGGGTTTCACTTCATTTGGTTGTATTTATTGATTTGATTCTGGTAATAATTTTGCAAAAATGTATAAATAACATAATAATCTAACTTGAGACTTTTCACAATCAGAAAAATGCAGGAAGAAGAATATAACTATTTCATACATGGTCTGTAGTTTCCAGTTAATTCTACCGTAAAGTACGTTAGCAACAACATAGAAAAAGTCATTAAAGTAAAAAAAATATATAAAATACATATCCACTTCAATTCCAAGCACATATTGTCCAGTGGTAGTCCAAGTTATATTTTTTCTTTTAACCTATATTATTATATTATATATCTTGGTCTGCAACAAGCTGTCAAAAAACACCTGCACCAAAGGAAGCACTTTGCATGCATTGTCTGACTCCTTCTCTTGTGTTACCATAACAAGGTGGATCCTGTCTCACTGACCACCATCAGCTGCTCTCTGCTTATTGGCTGCTTCCCGACTTAGTGTATTCTGACCTTTTAGTTGAATATCAATTCATAGCATTTCAGGCCGGTTAAAAGTCCAGAAATCCTAATAAGTCATCAAATCAATATAAAATGCAGAAGGAAAGTCGGAATAAATAACAAGCTTGTTAGCAACACAGATGATGGTAGAACATCATTTTGAATGTTGTTGGCTGACACGACTACAGAAATACACTGTTTTCAGGAGTAAATAAAAAAAAAAAGGATGGTACATGGATGAGAACAGCAGTAGACCAATCACCAAGCAGAAACGTTGGCCAAATAACAAACGACAGTGTGCACCAGCACAGGATAAACAACACATCTGGAACAGGTTGGTGAGACTCCCACACACAGCAAGGCTTTCTGGTAGCCAGGATTAAAATTGAACAAAAGGAGGGTCAAGACAAGACAAGTCCTTAGATATGTAAGAGTATATGATTAGTATATCCCTTCCCTTTACTAAACATAGGTATGAGGTATGGGGAAAAAAGTTCTTATAGTCTGGATGTAACACAAAGTGTCGGTACTTTGAATGAAGTAGTACTTGGTAAAAGTAGGGACCTCCTCTACTCAAAAGGAACAACACTCGTGACTAAGCTGTACAACTACTACTAAAGATGACGTCATTAAGGTACAAGACATTTGAAGTACCACTCTACACATAGAAAGTTTAAATATTTTAAGCTGCTTAAACAACACAAGTTTTTATTAAAACTATATCACAGTCCATGCAGTAATTTCACTTGGACATGAAACATGGAATGATCCATATTAACAGCCAATGTAAGACACCCAGATTTATTTTTTTAAATAAATGTTTATAGTTTAAGATAGAAAAATGAATTTCTCTTAGTTATACACCAGTTTATTCGTACAAATATATGACTGTCACAAAATACATACCGGAAAAACACGTTTGTTTAAAAAAAAAAAAAGCCTTTGCGCCCTATTTCTTTGGTTAATGTCTCCATCTACTGGACAAGCTTGGAACGTCGTCTCTAACAAGGTGCAGTGTACAGTATTACTTTTTGTGACTTGTTTGTGTTAGTGTTTCCTCTGACAATTACATTGGTTTTTTTTTTTTTTTTTTGACTTCAGTTGTGCATTATTGAGGTGGTGTTAAACTATATGACTGCAAAAGATGTCCTGTTAACAATTCAAAATCATAAGCATACACAGAAAAAAACAAAACTAATATGTTTAGAAATATAACGTGGTTGGAGTGTGCACTGTCACTGATAATCAGAGATATCCAAAAATAGCAACAACATTGTTTGATTTTCCTAAAACAGACTTCACCAGCACAGTGCTTGGTGATTTAGGGACCATCTATACAAAACATAGTTCAGTAACAAACCAACAAACAGGAAACAATCAGTAATAACTGATTTACTGCTAGTGTTTTCCTTTGGGTTAAAACCATTATTTATGTCAAGTTCTTTAGATAAACAGCTTAATAAAGATAAAATCCCAAAAAACAACAAACAAATCGTATCCTTGTTTGTACAATACTGTGTGCTTATGACAGAAATGCTTTAACAGCTCGTCCTCTTAATTATATAATACACATACTAACACTTACGTGAAGGATGCAGATACATGACACGGCTGAAGTGTTCATCATTCTTGGTGTCACGCAAATTTTTCCAAACCTGAAAAATATTTTCGCTAGAGTAAAACCAAAATTACCCACCCTCAACTTAAAAAAAAGAAAACTCTGTTCGCAGCTCTTTAAAGACACAGCATTAAGACTAAACGCTCTATTACGAAAAAGCCTCACAATTAACTGGAGGTTGCTGGTGGGCAAATAATGACCTGAGCAGAAACTTTAGGATCCTTGAACAATGACCAGTGAATGACCAATCAGGGACAAGAGCTGTTTTTTCCTGATTTGCATAGACACTTGCAAACACA